GATTGCTAAAGTGAGGACGCTCGGGTCCAGCGGGAATGCTCGCTGGCGTAGGTATGTATCGCGAGCATAAAGAGATCGGTGGTAGTATACGGTCGGTAGAACGAACGAGCGCGGGGGTAAAAGGAAACGATTCCGTCGTTCGTGTAGATAGTGGCTAAAAGTCTTTATTGCTCTTGCCTCGGCGCGGATAAAGAACGGAAAACGTCGGAGTGGGTTCGGGACGAACCACGAATTTGCGAGAAGGAGAGGGATGAAGACGAAAAAGCGGTCAACTAGAATCTTGTCAGAAATAAACATCTTTTTTCATTTTCTTTGAACAAAGAACGTATCGAAAGCTGTTCGACTTCTACGTAGATGAGAATTTTTTCCGGCTCTGTCTCGAACGACTTTGGACGCCCGCGTGTCTCGAGATCGCAATAAAGTTTACGGGACCTAACCCCTGTTTATTTCGAGCGGCGAATGTTTTTTTGTTCTTCATATATATATATATATATATATCGCGTTGCTGTGAATCCGCGTGGACGAAAGCGTTTTCACACTGTGCGCGAGTCGACGAACGAAGAAACGAGCGTGCGAGGGAAAGGACCAAAGCAACGGATAGAGGCTGAAGCACCGTGTAGTATGTGCACTACATATCATGTTGCGTTGTACCGTGAAATCGTAAAGTTTGTTCGAAAAGGAAAAAGGAAACGGTTATATAAAATTGCATTATATAACATTTCTCTTGTTACATTAAAATAATAATTATATTCAATTTAAAGTAATAATTGATGAAAATTTCGAGTAATATTTACTACGTTGCTCTTGAACCACGATAAATAGAAAACAGGGCGAGGAAGAAGTGAGAGAGACGGAGTCATAGAGAGGGAGAGAGAGAGAGATAACGCGAAGCTAAGAGAAAGAGAAGAGGGAAGAGAAGACAAGGGCTCGTTTCTTTAAAGCGAGGGTTACTTCCAGGACCGTTCGAGAATCGGTAGCCTCTACGCCAATGTTTTATTTTATCCTCTCCGCTCCATAAGATCGCATTCTTTACGACCCATTAGACGAATTCATTACCAGCCCCGGGCAGTAGGTAGGTGAGGTTCGTAAGCCCTCTTCCATTCCTCTTCCCTTCGCCTCGTCGCTTCGCTGCTCTTCCTGTCCCGTCTGTCGCACGTTTCTCCTCCACCCTTGGATTCGTCCATCCTCCCGCGTTTGTTTTTCGTGACCAACGTTGCTCCGTTCCCGTTGCGGACTACAACGATTTATCGAGGTAACCTGCTACGAACTTTGATGTGTCGTGCAAAATCGAACGGAAGACAATAGAAGACACGAGAAGGCGAATGAAACATTAAAGCGGAATGACATCTCTTGGGTTGAAGAGACCACTCGTTTTCGGGAATTTTTTTTGGACAAGACCTAACGTCTAAACAATGTTTGATACATACGCTACAAGTACGTAATTTGAGTAGAATTTTTGTTAATTTTCATTATAAAATATTGATCTGCGTAGGAAATACAATCAGTCTCGTGCCACGTGACTTTAACGCATTTACTACCTACATTCGAATGACTAACTCTCTGTAGCGTACTACATTTCATTTGCAGTAATTTTATTTAACGTAGTATACGCTTTCATGTAAACATAAAATGCATTAAATGGACCAATTGAATATTCCGAATAATATGTCATACATAATGCGACACTGGTCAGTAATTCGTACTTCATTTGTATATACGAGCTTAAAATACAAAATCATCACGTGTAGGTGGTGCCAATCTCTCATGAAAATCTATGCGTTATATACGTATATCTGACTAGGAATAAGAGAAACAGAAATAAAAGTACAATTTATAATGGTATCACGTCTCATATAAAATAAGTAAATTCTTATCAGCGTGATTGTTTAGTTGGTCCATCGTTACACGTTGTTTCTATTAGTCATCCCTCGTTCGAATAAAATTACACCTATCTCTGGTTCTACTGGCACAAACAGAGGTTCGGGGATAAGAGACAAGAGGTGGGAGATGGGAGACGGCCTTGGCGGAGATCGTATCTCGCGAAAGGTCCTACGGCCGATAAGCGATTCTATGTTAGTAATGCAGTCCCCGGTTTATCTAGTTTATCCGCAGGTTCTGACTATTCTTCGACGGTATTCTATGCGAGACAGTGCCCACGATACCGCCACGTACGTATATTCAAACCGATGCGGTCACCAGTCCTATCGAGTTAACCCCTTCATGCCCGTCGTATCGTATTCGATGCACGCCGGTTTCAGACAAATTTTATCGTTATTACGATATCAACTGTTCGTTTCATTGTTTACTTTCTAAGGAATTGGAACATCATTTACAATCGCGTCCAGTAAAATTATAATTTCAATGGAACCTCTTTCGTATCTTTTTACTATATCCTCATTTCGACGTTCTATTTGATTTCTAAAAATATCTATCTTTTCGTTATTTTGAAGAAATCTTCCAATTATTCTAATTATTTATACTCACCGTCAACTTTTATTCTTCCTATACTCATGTTTACATTTTACGTCCGGCTGGTCCTCGTTCACCGAAATCTTTTGTATAATTTAATTTCATTACGCGATTATGTCAGAAAATATTCTGACGTGTTCGAAAGCAAAGTTTCTTATCGCGATCTAAAATGGAAGAAGGTGTATCGAGCAGATGCAGATCCATGCGTGGCAGGGTGAAGTAAACGAACGCGCACTGTTATACTTTATAACATATATATTTATTTGAGCTTTAATTGCATTTTAAAATACAACCGAAATAATTAAATAATGACAAATCTGGTAAAATGGTTTCAAGAGTCGCGTATACATGATGCATATCTTTGTGGTTGCGCATTTGTAAGTAGGTAGGTACTTTTCGAGCGTACTTTTCGCACGGTTGGCCATCCACGTTTTGTTTGTTTGTTTGTTTGTTTGTTTCTTTTTTTTTTTCGTTTTCTCTCGTGTTCCACGAGTGTGTATACATGCCGCGTTTATCTTGTGCGCGTAATGTCGTTTCTTCGCGTCCACGTGGACCTCGTGTGTCCCGCCTTTCGTCCCACTCTCAGCAGTCGTATATAATTACAATAATAATATTAATATTATCGTTATATCGATAAATACTTTTAAAGTCCGCGATGGAAGAATTAGAGTTTACAAGAAATACGTATACAAGTGTGTTCCGCTCCGGATTCGGGCTTTCTCGTCCTCGAACGCGCGCAGTCATCGTCCCTTCGACCTAATTCCTCTCCCTCGAGTCTCCGTGCTATTATTTTCGAACTTCCTATCCATTCGCAACCGATCGTGCTCTTGCTGTATATTTAAGGAGTAGGCAACTGGACTCTTAGTAACTACGAACGCCACGGCAAGAGTCACGAGGAAACGCGTTCAACGAGGAGCAATCATGGAAATTTTATTTGAATTAACTGATAAATTATCGAATGAGAATTGTACATTACGCATCGTCAAATAGAGGTAAATCAACTGTATCGCATCGTCTGCAATGTTCTTTGTTTTTTTTTTTTTTTTAGCGTTTCACTTTATTCGTTGATTGCTTGGAATATAACTAAATAAAGTATTAGAATAATAATAAATTCAATCAAATGAAAATTTAATCGACTGAAAATTTGAATAACGATCAACCACTGGTACCACCGCCTCCGGCTTGCATCCTGTCGGCCATCGCGTATGCCTCGCTCCTGCGTTTATTCCTCGTTCGTCACCCTCGCTGTAACCAGCACTTTCCTCGTGTACTCGTCGACGGCCCAAGAGTCGGCAAGTTGCCCATCCTTGCTCTGTACTCACCTTTCCGATTTTACCATTCCAGCGTCGTGTCTTTTCACTCTATCATTCTCACTCTTTTTCTCGATCGTTCCATGCACCCGCACACGCGCAAACGACGCACACACGTACACACACGGACGGACGGACGTACGCACGCACGCACGCAGATACAAGATTACTCGCTCCGATGATTGTTCGCGCCCAGACACGCACGCTCGCACGCTGGAACGCGATCGGTTTACCAACAGAGACGGCCAATATTCTCTTCCAGATAAAGATCTCGAATAACGAATAAAAGATGAACATGCCACCCGTCGTTCTTCGAATACTAATGAAAATTTGAATGTACGCGATTAAATCGTCACGCATTGGGTTTCATTGGTCATCCATTATTTGAATCATATCGTATATTATAAAATATAATATAGAACGTATTACTCGTTTATAATATACGAATAATATTATACGTTATACTATACAGTATAAAATATGTTGCTCGAAGAAAATTTTATCCGTCTCTGGTTCCCAAGACGCCATTCAGAATTTGTCGCTCCGCGCTTTCCGTCGGCTCTCTTTTATAATATAGAATAATCGTAATTGTAATCAATATACACGGTACTCGCGATTACTCGAGCGATAATAATGATAGTTATTTTACACTTAAAATGTCGCGTTTGCTCGCACGGCGCAATAAATAGGTATTTTGAACAAAGAAAATTTACAATGGTCTACTCGCACGCTACGAGTTGAAGGAAAACGATATTTCGTCGAGGACGTCGCCGTCGTCGCGCATCCGCTTATCATTCGTGCTCGTCCCGCGCGCGTTTCGAGCGACCGCGAGCCTCGCTATTGCACCGTATCTCGTCGTTGTTTCATTCACGTTCGTTATCCCGTTCGTCCGGTAATCGTAGACTTTCGAGGAGGTTCGACCTCGAACGATCTCACCGGTTTCGTAGCAATAAGTATCAACAAAGAGATTCCTATACAGGGGCGGACCCTAGCCTAGCCTATGCGCTAATCAACTACGCTCTTACGTTCTAGAGGTATACATGATGATCTGACCTTACGACAGCTGTGATAGGTAAGATTTCCTCTCCTTCCTTAGAAAACTCTAACCCCCCTCCCCCCAATCTTCCACGCTTTGCCTTTCCTTTTTTTTCCTAGCTCTACTCGCTCTCTCTCTCTCTCTCTCTCTCTCTCTCTCTCTCTCTCTC